ATGATGAAAATACATGCATAAGAAAAGGATGGAAAAAATTATAAATGGTGGTAAACTTGAAGTTTACTAATATATGGCGATCTAGTGTAATAATGTTATTGACATTATTGTGAAATTGAAAAAAAAAAACAAAAAGTTTTCACATATAGCATGTCTTAAAGAAAATAAAGGAAACCATCATGGGAGATGAATCATCGAACAATAAATTCATTAGTTGTGATTTTTTTTAACAGACCCCAAATCAAGATCTCACTCTAAAGGATTTGAAACATAATTCATCTCAAAATGGAAAACTGAATATGATATTGGTTCTAGAGTGGGATTAAGTATGACATTTTTGACATGGAGTGTCATCATCTCGAGGAGGAGAATTAAAGAATCCAAGAATCCAAGTGAGTGGAACATTGAGATGATTATGTTCGCACTCGGAAAAGAACTTTATGAAGTAAATTCAAGTAAGATGATTCCCATGATCGCGTGTAATGCAGGTGTGCCTGTAATAGAGTCATATACAATCCAAAAGGGATAAAGTATATGGAAATATGCTCGCAAGGTTGCTAGAAGCATATAAGCTGCTGATGGAATGAGATATGAGAAATGGATTACATGAAAGTTATGTATGATAATACATTTATAAAATGGATGAAAATAAAGTTTCATATTCCAGCTGAAAATGCTCCAATAAGAAATTGTGTCCTAAACAGACGATATATTAGTCTATGGCACACTATAGACGTGATAGACCAATTTGGTTCCAAAGAATCCTTGAAAAAGGAACAAATATATAAATAGAGGATGAATCTCATAATGAGACCGTTGATATGGTTAATGTGTAATCAGGTACCTGAGTAATTATTGATAATGATAAAAGATTTCGATTTACCATATCAGTACGGATAAAAAGATGGAACCAAAGAGAAAATAGATTGTCGACAATAAATAAATAAATGAAAAAGCGCTATATAAATAAGGATCCTAAATCTACCTCTATATATGAGAGTAGAGTGAAATGATTAGCCAAAGAGTGACTGAGGCAATCAATTTGATATAAAGCTCATTAGAAAAACGAGAGATGTTTCGACCAAAAGTCTAAGGTATATATTTCTCCAGAGAATGAAATGAAAGATGACCTTTCAGATATGAAAAACGGCTTGTTCCAAGGTCACTGGAGAAAATTTTAAATAGATGCAATATATTGATATGTCTGGCAGGACATGAATGACTTGAGTTGCATCTTGATATATAGTAGTCCTTGAGAATTGATAATGTTCTCGGGAACGACAAAACTCTGGAAGAGTTAGAACAAGCCGTATATAAGATATCTTAAACTAATAACTGGTGATATAATGAGAAAGAATTTCCAGCGTTAGGGGGAGGAATTAGAGAAATTCCTAAAGAGATTAGCTGGTGTACACAGTCGTTGTAACTTCTTAATACCCTACGAATTAAAGAGAACTGGAAGTTCAGAAAATTGTGCATTTGCATAATTTGGCAAACCAGTTACCTGATGTGTTCATGGATACGAGAAGAATGACAAAATTATATATACCCGCTGAAAACGTTCCCTCAAGGGTTATTGTTCCAGAAGGACCAACTGATGGAGAAACAATGAATGAGCCTAGGGTTCAGTTAAAAAGAGGGACACTAGTGGGTTCTAAAGATAAAAATCCCTGAAAGAAAAAGAAATAGGTTGAGTAAAATGGAAAGGTTCTAGAAGAACCTGATACTAAGAAATGTCTGAAAGAAGACATAAATGGAAAGGTTTCACAAAAACCTGATATTGAAAGATGTCTGAAAGAAGACATAAGTGATAAGATTCAAAAAGAACCAAATAAAGATAAGGATCCATATGACGAGAAAGGAGCAGAAAAGTATGAGATTTTCATCAACTACATCCGTGATGAAAAATTATAAGATGTTGATGGAATGTTCTCCTTTTCTGTGCCCAAAGAGATCGATCATGAAAATGATGATGTCGATCTAAATCCAAGATCCATACTGAAATTTCTTTGGACCTATAGTTATAACGTCTGAGAATATAAATCCTATTGGGTATTCATGAGAAAAGTAACAAGCTATAAAGCCTGATTAGTTTCCCAATGTTTTTCTCAATGAGCGGAAATTGATTTTGATGACGTGTATTTCGCGGTAATGACTGCAATTACGTTTAGATTTTTGATGAGCCTGACGGCGTCAAAGAATATGGAAATGCATCTTATGGACGTTGTGACTGCATATTTGTATGGATCGATGAATAGTGATATATATATGAAACTCCCTGGAAGTTTGAAAATGCTAGAAGCATTGAAAGAAAAATCCAGGGAGGTTTGTTCGGTCAGTTACAAAGATCACTATACGGATTATAAAGAAATCGTCATCTGGCTTTGTGATCATTGCTGTATTTATTGATGACCTGAACATTATTGGAACGCAAAAGAAGGTTGATGATGCTTGGACTCATATGAAGGAGAGTTCAAAATGAAAGATCTCGGAAAAGATAAAATTTTGTCTTGGGCTTCAGATTGCGCATCTCAGTGAAGAAATATTTGTGCATCAATCAAACTATACGAAAAGATTATTGAAACGCTTTCGTACAGATAAAACAACTCTTTTGAGTACTCCATAGTAAATAGATCGCTCCATGTTAAAAGAGATGTTATGTTAAAATATTCTGGCAAGATCTAAAAAAAAATGTACTTTGGAGATGCTAATGTTCTTTCAAGGAATTTAGAACGGCGTCGATAATATATCCATTGTTTCTAAGGTACGTACTGATTTAAGATTGGTTTATTCTAGAAACCCCGAGTTTGGTATGGTTTTACAAATACATGATATTTATAAATATCAAACGCAAATCGAAATGGTTTTACAATTGGTGAAACTGCGACTACATAACGTTCTGAGAAACAAAGATTGGTTTCGACTTCTTCGAAGCATGTCAAGAATGTGTTTGGCTTAGGTCCATGAGTTATCACATACACGAAGTAAGTGTAATAGTTAACAAGAAAAAGCCAACGAAAATATTTTAAGATCATTCAGCTTGTGTTGCTCAACTCAAAGAAGACTATATCAAGAGCGATAGAACCAAGCACATCTCTCCAAGATTTTTCTCGTACATACGTGAACTCGAGAAAAATAAAAAAGTGAACATAGAGTATATAAGGTCATGCCACAATCCGGTTGACTTGTTTACAAAGGCACTTCCAACTACAACATTCCGAAAACACGTTTACGGTATCGGAATGCGGCGTTTACATGACCTATGAAGAAAAGATTATGTCTATACTTTTCAGGGAGAGATTACATCAATGTATTCTTTTTCTTTTTTCATGGTTTATAGCCCAACAAATTTTTTTCATGACTAAAATTTTAACAAGTCATTACCTAATACAATATGGATGATTAAGAGGGAGTGTTATAAGATAATGGTTGAAAAAATCAATGATCATCCTCTTGATCTTTTACCGACTTCATTAGACCAACTCTTGTATAATTTATATATTTTCTAAGTACTATAAATAACCAGGGTTATTTTGTATCTGATGAAAAAAGTTAAATCACCTTTTCACGACCTCTCTCTCGTTGACAATAAGAAAAATACAAATCGTCTCTCTCGCATACGATACATGTATATATAACCAGAAAATATTCTCGTTGACAATAAGAAAAATACAAATCGTCTCTCTCGCATACGATACATGTATATATAACCAGAAAATATTCTCGTTGACAATAAGAAAATACAAATCGTCTCTCTCGCATACGATACATGTATATATAACCAGAAAATATATATCACCTTCTCATTATTTACAACAGTTTTGTGCTTATGCAGTCATCATTTTTAATTTCTTGTCTCTTCAAGCATCTGGTCTCCCTTGGACTCTCTCGGTAAAGGACAAGTTACTTTCACTCCAGTAAGCTCCGTTGTACGTATTCTTCTGAAACCTATATGCATATATAAATTAGGGATAATTTGAAACATACCTTTTCTGATTTAAATTTTGATACATCTCTATTTTTAAGGTTTGAAAATTACACTTACTTTTATGTGACACAACACTTTTATTCTGATGTTAAATTTTATTATTAATTTTAAAATCTAATACAGTATCATTATTAAATAATTGTATTTAGAAATTTATTAAGTTTCATCGAAGCATATATATAATTCGAACATTTTAAGAATGGTGAAAAGGCACATCAAAAATTATCGACAAGAGTATGTACGCTTTCCATGTGCAAGAAACTCACAAAATATTATCTCTTTTCTCAAATTGTTTTGTGCTAGTCAAAGCAAAATTTTACAGCATAAACTGTTATAAAGAAATAGAAATATATAACACATTGTTTGATTCTCGGAATTTTATCTGGGTTGTTTCATGTATCTCGTATATCAAAACAAAAACAATCTTCACATTAAAGCAAAAGATCATTTAGTTATTTGGAAAATGCTATCAGTGACTAATTGGTTTTTGTTTATAAAAGATCCTATGAACAAGGTTATGGCTAAAGGTTTAGTCCAAAGAAACAAGAGAGGTTATGACTAAATGTGGTGAGGAACCGATGAGTGGAGCAAATTAAATTATAGTATATATATATTAAGAGTATATATTGTTAAAAAAGAAAAAAGTACAAAATCGATTGTTTTCTGTTTTAAAATACAGAAATGTCAGATTCTTTTAAAGAAATTTAAACGCAATGCTTCTTTTTAAAAATAAAATAGTGATTTAGATATTAGAAAACTATAAACATTTTAAATTGGATATTATAGTTATTGCACTTAAAAATAAGTGTAGTTTTCACAAGAAACTTAAGAAGGCCTAATTTTTAAAATATAATATCACTAAGAAGTATTTATCCAAATTTCCCCTAAAAATTATATGAAAAATGCTATTTTATGTTTTCTGTAATGGACCCATGTATTCTCTGTCTGAGTTAAATATAACAGATGGTTAGGGGTCTGGCACTAAATTATTTGGCAAGCCTATTGTGGTTATTTTATATCTAGTTGAGACAAAAAAGTCTCAAAGTGCAGGATGTTTATTGCTTTGACAACCAAAATTGACATGAAATCTTATGCATGTTTTGCATCTCCTAGTTTCAGTTTCGTTCCTCTTGTTTTGTTTCAGCTGCCAAAGGCGATGGTGCACGATCCCGAAAATCTAGAACTTTGGCTGAAGGTCTGTCTTCCCCACTCTCTTTGTCCTGTTGTCACTTAAAAAACTCTTCAAGGTCCAAACTAAATCCATTTTGTGAATAGGTTGATGGTGAAACAAGACAGAAGGATTTGACAAAAGATATGATCTTCAAGGTCCCATACCTCATCAGCTACATAAGTTCTATAGTGACTCTCTACGAGGGAGATGTTATCTTGACAGGTATTTACTTATAATTTTCCGTGTGTTTTCCATGTTTAAGAACATTCAGAGCCAATCCTAATAATCTTATGAGACAATGCATTCAATTTATAGGTACACCAGAAGGTGTTGGACCTGTAAAGATAGGACAGAAGATAACCGTAGGGATCACTGGTCTATCTGAAGTTCAGTTTGATGTTGATAGGCGTGTGAAGCCTCTGAGCTAAGTATTTTGTCATGTTTCATATAGTTAAAAGAGATAATTGGCCAATACACCCTAAATGGGGGTTTATATTAGTCACTTGCCCATAATGAGACTGATTTATTTTGTCTGATCAAATTGCTCTTCTTTCTCTCTCTCATTCCTTCCTGCATTTACATGTGGGTGTGTCAGTTTTTTTTTTTTCATTTTCGTTATCAATGCTCTTCTCTCCTCTTATCATTTTCAAAATGAATTACATGCAAAATAAATATGTTAAATATTTTTAAGTTCACTTTGATTCTTAAATAATAAATTTAAATATGTTATTAGAGAAGTACATACAATTAAATTTTAAATTTCATTATTTTTTTCATAAGTGGCTTTGAATTCTCAATTTTTTTATGATATCAATTTCTGGGTTTTAGATTCGACGCCGTGTTAGCGGTTAACAAATATTGTAGACGTTAACAGAAGTGTTAGTTGTTAACAATTATTTTTACGCTTCGCGTTAATAAATGTGTTCGCTGTTAACAAATATTGTAGACGTTAACAAAAGTGTTAACTGTTAACAATTATTTTTACGCTTCGCGGTAATAAATGTGTTGGCTGTTAACAAATATTGTAGACGTTAACAGAAGTGTTATATGTTAACAAATGTTTTTACGCTTCGTGTTAATGAGAGGAAAGAGAAAGGGCATTCTCGACATTTCCTTGCCAAATGGTTGTGTCAGTGTCCTTTATGTCCAATCAATGGTATTTTGCTAATTTGAGCTTCAAATATGGGTAGTTCACTAAATCTCTCTAGTTAAAAATGTCATTTTTTTATATCTAAATGCCAAAGCTTTTGTGTAATAAACCATGTATTTTTATAACTTGAGAAGGGATAATATAAACTAAAACATCAATAGTTTTCTAGCTTGTTAACTATTAAAGTAATTGTTGTAATATTGTCACTATCTATATTATTAAAAACATTATACAAAAATAAAATACCCTTTAGGTTTTCAACTTATTTACAACAGCATGCCACTGAAATTATTAATTTACTTACTTTTTAGAGTTCTTTGTTTTTTCCTATTTAAATAAAGCATTTACAGAATTGAATTCTAACTAAAAATTAATGGCAATAATAATTAATAAACCTAGCTTTAAAAATTTAATGAACAATATTTTTTTAAACTATGTAATAGTTTATATTATTATTTATTATTAATAAATATAAATAAAGGTCAGAAATCATTTATATATTTATATCATGTTATGTATATTTTCATATAAGTGATATTCCAATGTAAATTTTGTATGATAAATGTTGGAAGTAAAAAATTTATAGCACCATATATATTAAATAGTATATACAACAGTTTTATTATACGTTATCATAATATTTTGATTCATAAAAAATAAAAATACATTTATGCGCGGATATACAAGTCTTATTCGAAAAAGTGGATGATATAATTGATGATTTATTAGAAAAAATAAAATAAAACAATATAAACTATAAAACTATTGTGTTTAGAAATTTCATATTAAAAAATATTTAAATGGATAAATTTTAAAATATATATTATCACTTATACAAATAAATATTTATTTATAAAAAAATAAAAGCAACTACCGCGCGGGTGCACGGATCAAACTCTAGTTAAAAATAAGTTTGCAAACTAATACATTTACAATATTGTTTTTAACAATCTATTTTATTTAGCCATATAATGTATATATATCCATATATATAATGTATATATATCCATATATATATATATATATTCATATATATATACTAGGTAAGGAATCCACACAATATCGCGTAGAGACTCATTTTATATAAAAATAAATATAGCATTTTTATTAATATTTTATATAAAAACATCTTAATTTTACTTGTTTGAAGATTAATTTCTAGATTTATTTTTGGTTTCTCATGTAAAAACGTAGATTATGTGTGTTTATGTTCATTTATAGATAATATTAAAATGTATATGTTATATTTTTATATTACAACTAAAGTACAAATATGTCAATACCACTTAAAACACACCTCTTCTTTTGGTTTAGTTAAGTAATTCTGAAAATTTAAATGCTACTTAATGTCTTTGTAATTATTTAAAATAAGATAACACATTTAAAATGAATCATTAACGAATTTTATAAGGTAAGTTATAATAACAAGTATAACAATCATGATCTTTTGAAATTATGTAAAAATGTGTATTGCAGAAACATAAATATGTGGTAACTTAAAGGAATCCTGCACAACACAATTTTATTGGTAAATCACAAAAGCATTTTTCCTTTGTGCATTTTTTTGCTTTTATGTATTCTTAAGAATTGATCTTTGGTGAACCTGAACAATGAAACTCTCTATTTCCTAATATGTAAATTGTGTTTATTTATATATTTTATGTTAGTTATGATTTGTCATTACCCACAATTCCTTATATAGAAGACTAAAAACGGTGATAATTGACAACAAAACTTTGTAATGGTTAGTTAATGGTTTTCATGACTAACAGTAAAAATTGCAAAGTGGTTCATGAGGAATGATTCCAATAACCCATCCTTAAATGCTATAATTACCAACAACTAAAGTGGTTCATGAGGAATGATTCCAGTAACCCATTACTAAAAGATGCAATCATCAACAAATGCAATATTTTGTTTAATCAGTTGCAATTGTTCATATATAATTATTGTAAAGGACATATAATTTGTTATAAACAATTGTTTAAATATATATATATGAATCCTCAACTTATCATTATACTTTTAAGCAATAAATATTGAAAATTAAAAATATATATTTTCACAATTTAGTAAAAGCATGTATTCGTTTAAATTTTAATTTCCTCTTATGATTCGATGATAATTATATAAATTTTAAAAATATTATTGATAGGTAAAATTATAATATTTAAGTCAGTAAAGTGTGAAAGGTATCAACATGATTAAACTCCTTACTAAATTAAAATCTCTTAGAAACACAACGGTGTGGATTTGTCTGCACATCAAATATTTCGATAAAATGAGGGTTGCAGAACAAAACATTATAGAAATTAAACTTAGATTTTTAGATATATAAAAACTCTTAAGACTAAATGTATACACAAAGATTCTTTCATTGAGATTGTATTGCAGTATGTGACGTAATTAGGAGATAGCAAAGGAGTAATAGATATTAATGGGAGGGAGAACACGATTGTGATTACATTACTCGTGAAATCTGTTAACAAAGCTATATTGTTTATGCATTTTAATCTTTCACTGTTACGAAGTAATAACAAAATTTTAAATTTCATTCAATCAAAAAATATTCAAGATACTTAACAAATTCTTTGTATACTATACATTCTTCACAATAACTATCATAATGAGCCTTACAATTTTTTCCCACTTTCATGTTGCTCAGTTTTTCTTTGTTTAAATTGAATTCTCTCATTGTAAGCTTTAAGGATAGCGATTGAAGACTTCTCTAACATTTTCTATGTACAGATAAACCGTTGCTATTTCTTATCTCTTTAACTAATGCAGAATCTTATTTTATGTCTCTGTCTCCGATAAGAATAGTATCTAATATATATATATGGATTAAATATGCATATAAACTTGCGGCATATTTTAATCTCTTGAGTTCTATATGTTTGTCTCTTTTAAAATAGAATTCATTAATGCCCGATAAAAGAAAATGCTTCAACATTGTTGTTACAAGCACAATCCTCTAATAAGCTACTATGCCTAGAAAGAAATTCCCCATTATATGGAGGCTTGAAAATTATAATTATTTGAAGATTCTTTAAAACAAAAATATGATTTTGAAATTCTGTTGATTTCTTTATTGACTGATATAATTATTTTGAGATGGAATCCACAAGGAGATGGAACATGCATCCTTTGTAATGGTCCAATGGAGACAAGGGATCATTTAATTTGTTCTTTGGTTTTGTGTATTCAGAAGAGATATGGCGAGAATCCACACAGAAATTGATTGGTGCAAGGTACACAAACAACTGGACTAAGATACTTGTTATGTTGATGGACAAGACTTGGGATAGCATAGTCCTATTTCTTATTCGGTATGCTTTTCAAGCTGTGTTGTACTGGATATGGCGAGAAAGGAATAGCAGGAGACATGGAGAAGCTCCTCAAGCTGCAACTCGCCTTGTCAAGTACATTGACAAACTTGTTCGGAATCACATAGACTCACTAAGAGGGGAGTGCAATAGAAGATATAGCAAAGCTATAGAGTGTGGTTTTCTACTAGATGAAAGTCTTTTCTAGAGTAGTTTTCTAAAAATTCTTTCATTTCAAACTATGGCACATTTATTGTAAAAAAGAGTTTTTTCTTGAATAAATTTAACATTCATTCAAAAAAAAATATATATTTTTTGAAATCTTTACTTGATTGATCGAAGACCTTTAATAAAATTGTACACTCAACATCTTCCAGTAGTTCAATTTTAAAAGTTTCTGTTTGAAAATTGGTGGATTAAATTTGATGACCTCGAAAAAGTATGAACGAAAGGTTACAATGAATTAAAAACAAACGTTAACGTTATAGTTAATACTTTGTGTAATTTGAATAAGTATAGGGTGTTTTTAATAACACGTCCCAAATGGTGTGAATAACGTTACATTCGTTCAAACACGCCTCAAGTTTTACTATTACTCTTTTCTTCTGAACAATTTTTACCTAACTATAACTGATTTTATATTTACTATAATTATGTTTAACTAACTAAATATTAAGAAAGTACATATAAATAAATCGCCTTCCAAAAAATTATTCTTAGATATTCTGTTAACAGTTTACCATAGTTACAATTTTTTTTTTCTGATTGCATCATTATTATAATAAATCAATGACTTCAATTCAGAAAATTATATTAAAACGGAATATTAAAAAATAAATATAATAAAATGGAAGGTCAACATTTATCCCTTATATATTAATTGAGAAGTATTACAACATGTTTGGTAAACACATGTCATAATGAGAATGCTTCTAAAATTTACTAGACAAAAATGTTGGTCCATATAAACATATAATATAATTTTTATTAAACTAAGCTTAAAAATATTATTACTGCTAATAATTATTTTCTTAAATTAAATTTACGGAATTACCTAATATGGTTATAATATGTATCTGACAATTAATGATTTGAATATGAAAGATTTGATACAAAATTATATAGCCTCTACTTTTTTTTGTTAAATTTATA